GAATACCCAAGGTCTATTCTATCCGACGAACTGTCATTCTTCTGTCTAACATAACCAAAACATGTATCTTGTCGAAGTTTTCTTGAGTAACTGACTCAATGGGTTTTCCTGGTCGATGTTCGTCTTCGGTGCTGATCCTCCCGAATTTAAACGCAGCTACCCATTTTTTTACTGTGCTATAGGAAGGAGCATCTTCCCTTAATGTATCCGCCATATCCTCATATACTTCCTTCGGCGACATTCTTTTCTTACAAAGATATTTTATTACAGCACGAATCTCGTTTGTCTCCATTTTAGATGATTCCTGTTTCTTGTCCTCTTTCAGAACCCATAACAAATAAACGGTTAGTTCTAGAAACTTAAAAATGTACACATCTTTATACAAGGCTTTAAGGTATATTTGGTAAAATTTATTAGTTTCAAATATTTCGTTCTCATGGTCGGGCCACGGACTTATGGGACACCCCTCGTATAACCAGTGAAATGATACGCGACCCTCTCAAAACAGTTGTGCTTCCCCATAAAATTTGGCCTGTAGCCACATATGAAATATTTTAAATAATAAAGATATTTGATCCAAAATAAGCATTTTGTTAAATAAATAAAATAGGGATCGCTCACAGTTTTAAAACACAGATGTGGCGCTGAGTTTGTTGTTGACATATATTATAGACAGGTTACTTTTAATATAGATCTCGCATCGTACTACATATTTAAAATCGGGCGCCATAGAGAGGGAGACACTATTTATAGAAGGGGCGCTATAGACAGGTTTAACTGTATATATAAAAAAAAAACTATTGAAATTAGAGCAATCCAAGAATAGATCTTCATTTAAAAAGGCATATATTGGATCAAAATATAATTTATTTATCAATATTTAAGTTGAGTTTGTTGTTGACACACACAATAAATATGTTATAATACCTTTAAAAAGGTTGGCGTTCAACTAACTCAAATATTGGTAAAATAAATGATATTTTGATCCAATATATGTCTTTGTAATTAAACATGTATATATGTATAAATATTGGTCCTTGCCATTTCAATAGCTTAAACATCTTTTTGGTAAATTCGACCGATTTCATAATTCCTCTCTCGTAGAATGTTATGAAATAGAAGCCGCCCCTGTACTGATGAGGTTCAAAGTTCAAAACTATGGTATACAGTTTTAACAGCATAAACAGGTGCATTGAAATATCAGAAACATACGAAACAATAGGGACAAATACTATCCCATAGATGTAGGCACTCTTCTATATATACCACAATAGTTCACGAATTTATAAAATTTAATTTGAAGTCTCGAGATATCATTCAACCAGCACGTATCATTCACCATGCACGTATATTTTCAAAACTTTGTTTTTAAAACAGAAATAATGTAATATATTTTCGCTCTCTCTCAATATCATTAATATTTAAAATATGTAAATAGTAATTTGTATAAAAAATAGTATTTATCAATAATTTGTTAATGTGATAATCCTGTTTAAATACTGACAAGTCAGAAATCTTGAAAATAAAAAGTCGCACAAGAAACTTAGCCCTGGATGCTTTATTTACAACAACAACAACAAAAAAGCCTTTATTCAGGGTCACTGACCCTATACAGGATTCACCAGAGGTATGCATAAGAACAAAGCAGTGAGACAAAGGAAATAACGATATAGTGGATGCTTTATTTATTTTATAATAGTTTTTTTTTGTTTTGTTTGAATTTGCCAAACTGGTGTTGTGTGGCTCATTGCTTATAACCACTAGTAAATTTCTTTTACTAGGGGATAAATACAAATAAATACAATACATAAATAAAGGAAAGGTACGTTTTCGGTACATGAATATCATTCTTCTGAAACTTTATACTGTACCCCCCTCCTCATATATATACACACACAAAGCTTTATTAAGACCACCGGTATTATACAAATTCACCACAGGAAGAGAGGAAACATAGATAGAGCTCCTGTACTCCAGGTAGCGCAGCACCCAACAACAGCTTCCATGTCCGATGCATGTCCAATGACAATATATATACAAAAAAATTCTACAGACATGATACTTCATACATCAAACATTGAATAAAAATTCCGGGCATGACTCATCAGTTTTAAACCTTTCTAGAGGTATCGCCACAGTTTAATCTCACCTAAAGGATGATGATATTTGACATGTTCCTAAGATTTGTAAATTTGAGAGAATTTCTCGATGCAATATATCTAGAGACCTAGAAACATTGTCCTTAGTTCTCATAAACATTGATTCCTTAAAAAATACTCCTGTTTCAAAATAACTATTAGGTACCGCTCAAAAAGAGCAACCTAGCTTATGTTGTTTACAATGGATAATGGGGGGTCGGTGGAAGGATGGTCTAAACCGTTGGTTTTCGACCGCTACGACCTGGGTTTGATTCCCGCCTTGGGAACTTTTTTCTAATTGAAAAGATGCTTCAATGGCCTCCGATTCTTGCAAAAGTCCAACCCCACCAGCGAATGCAAGTAACCAAACAGGGTTCTGGCATATTTGTAAGTGCAAAGTCGAACTGCTTTTCACATGTGTAGCATGTGGTGCACTTAGAATAAAAGCAGTCGCTCACTTCTACCCACCATGATTAACATGACCTGTACCACGTGTACTAGGGATAAGCAAAATCACTTTTTTTTTAAGATTGCCGTATATAAGAGTTCTTTAGAGATATATTTTAATTATATATTTTTAAAGTATTGAAATGTAGTAAATTAAATTTATAAATTCAATTGCCATTTATCAATAAAATTTGTAACAATTATATTTACTAGAAATGTGTTCTTCGTTCATATTTACATAAATAATAAATTTCCTTTCCTCCAATTTACCGACTAATCTATTAGCTTTAATTGTCTTTATATAATTTATCCTGTATAAAAATATAATGTTATCATTAAGATGCTATTACTGTTTTCCTGTATGTATCCTACATTTCTTTTTGGAGAATCTGTATAAGACTAAAAGGTCTTAATAAAGCCTTTTGTTGTTGTTGATTACTGGTACTATTACTGTTTTTCCTGTATGTATCCTACACTTCTGTTTGGAGAATCTGTATAAGACTAAAAGGTCTTAATAAAGCCTTTTGTTGTTGTTGATTACTGGTACTATTACTGTTTTTCCTGTATGTATCCTACACTTCTGTTTGGAGAATCTGTATAAGACTAAAAGGTCTTAATAAAGCCTTTTGTTGTTGTTGGTTACTGGTACTATTACTGTTTTTCCTGCATGTATCCTACATTTCTGTTTGGAGAATCTGTATAAGACTAAAAGGTCTTATAAAGATTTTTGTTTTAATAATTACATCAAATATTATCTCTACAGACCTATAAACACAAGGTAATAAGACCAAATCCAAATAAATAAAAAGTGTGTGACGTTTCGGTAAAAGCGTTGTTACCATCTTCAGACAAAAGTAATCTCAATTAATCTCACTTAAATGATGATGATATTTGACATGTTGCCTAAGATTTGTAAATTCAATACATATACTTTTACAGTATTTTTGTCTGAAGATGGTAACAACGCTGTTACCGAAACGTTACACACTATTAATTTATTTGGTCTTATTACCTTGTGTTTATAATCTATAATCCAAACTGTGCCTTATCCTCTACAGACCTCTTGAGAAAAGAAACACATTACAAGTAAATTAAAATGTAGTACCCATTTTCACCGATAGATGGTGCTAAAATGATGTTTGCTATGTTTTACTCCTCCCCTCCTAAAGACAATCTTTGTTGTTGTTAGTGGTCATCAAGTCAAGTTCGACTTTTTGGTGACAATATGAAGGTCGGTGTCCGGCGTTATAAGCCGTCGGTTTCCGACAGCCATGAACCGGGATCGAATCCCGTAATGGATACTTTTTCTTTGTCTTATCCTTAGTACACGTGGTACAGGCCATGTTAATCATGGTGGGTAGAGGTTGACGACTGCTTTTACTGTAAGTGCACCATATGCCTACACATGTGAAAAGCAGTTCGACTTTGTACTTACGAATGTTCCAGAGCCCCGTTTGGTTACTTGCACTAACTGGTGGGGTTGATTTTGCAAGACTTATCCATTGTAAATAACATAAGCTAGGTTTCTCTTTTTGAGCGGTACCTAATAAAGTTATGTTGGAACAGGTTTTTTGGTGACAAATATTCTAAATTTTGATCTGTTTGTGACTATCACTCGCAGCTCTAGTGACTTTCTGATAGCTTCCTTGACCTCTTCCAGTCAGATATTTCAACAATGAAATTAGGGGGTCGGTGGAAGGATGGTATAAACCGTTGGTTTTCGACCGCTACAACCCGGGTTCGATTCCCGCATTGGGCACTTTTTTTCTGTTTAAAAAAAATATGCTCCAATGGCCCCCAGTTCTTGCAAAAGTCCAACCCCACCAGCGAGTGCAAAAATAACCAAACGGGGCTCTGGCACATTTGTAAGTGCAAAGTCGAACTGCTTTTCACTAGTGTAGACATGTGGTGCACTTACAGTAAAAGCAGTCGCCTACTCCTACCCACCATGATTATCATGGCCTGTACCACGTGTACTAGGGATAAGCAAAAAAAAAAAAAAAAAAAAAACAATGAAATTTATACATAGGAAAACATTTTATAAAGACAATTAAGCTCATTACTAGATTAGTCTGGGTAAATACGATGAAAGGAAATTTCTCTTAGAAATAGAATTACCACGGAGTCTGGAAATGAAAAAAGTAAAAGATAATTTTACATATTGAGACTCAAATTATGTGATATTTATATATATATATAACATATCACGTGATTAGCCTTTGGAGAGTGGTGTTAAACAAGGTATATATAGGATGCCTTACTTTTGCCTTTATCAAAATTCGAAACTATTTTAAAGGCGTAAGATTATTTTTGAAATTAAACAATTTCTACTGCCCTTACTACAATGAAAAATTAATGGGGGGGGCCTGGCTCATCAGTTTTGCCTTTATGTTAAATAGCTACATTACATAAGCTACGGCCATACTACATTGAAAACACCGGTTCTCGTCCGATCACCGAAGTTAAGCAATGTCGGGCCCTGTCAGTATTTGGGAGGGTTGACCGGGTGCTGTAGGCTATTACCTTTTGGGGCTCAAAAATCATTTTATTTTGGTTAGCAGACCCATAAATAAAGATATTTCCATTTACATGTCATAAGCTACAATTATATTCTTTGTAACGAAGAATTTAACACCTCAAATTTATATTTTAAAAAAGCGTACCTGAATCTAAAAAAAAAAAAAATTGTTCTCAAAATATTTACATAACAACAAAAAGCGTTATTAAGACCTTTCTTATACAGATTTTATGAGTAGAAATACATTACAAAATATTTAGAGGGATTGTTCCCTCTATCAATTTGTTGCAAAATAAATTTTAAAAAAGTAATTTATAAATTCTCACACGCACACACAAAGCCTTTATTAAGACCCCATTGGTCTTACACAGATTCTCCAGAGTGTAGACAACAATGATCAGGATGAGTGGAGTTTTATATGTACAATATTACATGAAATGCAGTAAAAAAATATGGTCTAACAAAGAAGAAAAAAAAAAAAGTTTTGAAGATTAATTATTATTATTATAATGGAAAGACTAATTTATCAGATCCTTCATAACTCTTCTGAAGAAATTATATACATACAGTAAAACCCCGCTAATACGAACCCTGGATATAACGAACCTTCCCTTATAACGAACCCACGCCGATTCCCAATTCCATTCCATTGAAAATACCATCGTTATAACGAACTTTGCGAATATAACGATTTTTAGAATAACGAACTACCCCTATAACGGACCTATTTTCGGTCCCAAAATAATAAAATCTATTTAAAATACTATGCTTATAACGAACTTAGAATTGTAATAAAAAAAAATCAAAACAACAAAATTTTAAGCATGTTTCAGCTCGCGATTTCAAAACAATGAATTTAGCGGCATGTTTGTTTTGGATTTTTGCACTTTATTTTTGCTGTATGTTGTATAAATTTTTACACATTATACTTTTTATTAAATAGAATATCCTTGCATCCATTAATTTTGAAATATAAAAAATCCAAATGGCTTCCAAAAAAAAAATGAAGAAAACAAAGTCATTTTAAAAACAAAAACGTTATTTCTCTTAAAAAAAAAGGCCATTTTCAGAACTTTTCAAAGTGAAACAACACAGGCAAAATGTTAAGAACATATTAAAATAAGAGAATATAACTTTTCTATTATAAAATATAAAGCTATTAAAAATTGCTACAAAGAGGAAGACTCAACTTTTGCCGCGATCGTACGTTTTAGGGCAAAAAAAAAAAAAAAGTCCAAATAAACGGTCCCGTGATGAAACAAAAATTATTTTTATGCCAATAACTATGGTGATTTTAAAGTTAGCAATGTTTTGCATGACAGGTTAAAAAAAGAAATCTAGACTTTGAAGAATATGCGGAAACATGAAATGGAAGAAAAACACTACCTTTATTTGAATGGTGCAATGCTTGAAGAGTGCTTTGAAGCAACAAGGTATTAGTCATTTTTCCAAGTAAACATTGTATTATATAATGTGATAAAGATGTTTTAAAATTATTTTTATATCTTTGAATATATATTTAATAAAACTTTGCCTAGGATTTGTCATGATTTTTAAATTAGACATACAGGTACATGTATGTTAATGATAAGAAGAACCTATCATTTAATGATTTCTATTGTTATTCAGTATTAATGTAAGGAAATTGGTCAATTATGGGAATTGAAACAAAGTGACCACTATTAAGAGGAAGTCTCTTGCTGTGTGTATGGCTGTCCTTTAATTATACGGTCTAAAAATTTTGGAAAGTAAAAAATAAATAAATAAATAGCCAAACCGTGGCTATAGTGAACCAAAAGCTCTGTCCCATTGGGGTTCACTATAGAGGGGTTTTACTGTATATAGATAAATTGTCTATCAGACTTGATAGAAGACAGTGTACGGTGAAGTTCAGGCGGTCTATCTCAGAAACAAAGAGTTTCCAATTTATAAATCACATTGAAACAACTTTAAAACAACTGAAAAAGTTGCTTTTTCATGATCTACAAGAATTTGAAAGTTTATGGTGCAATAAAGATGGAAAATGCCTCGCGAAATATTTTGAAAAAAAAAATTCCTTTCACAGATCCGGGTACGTTTTTAAAAAATAATTCAATAGATCAATGGCCTTTTCAAAACATGTTACAATCCACGATGATAAAAAAAAATAGATAAGATTATAAGAAATATCTTTGCACGAAAATTCTACAAGATTCATTAGAACACTTTATTAAAATATTAGATGAAAAGATGAATGCTACCTAAGAAAATTAGTCACTCCCTCTAGTAGTAGAAATATTTTGTGACGCGCGATTTTTCAAATCTTCAAATTGGAGAAAAAATTATAAAAAGTTGATAAAGCAAAATTTGGATTATAAATACAATAAAAAAAGTATTTTATTCTTTTGTCTGATAATGGTAACAATGCTAGTACCGAAACACTATTAAATTATTTGGATTAGGTCTTATTTTCTTGTATTTTCTAAAAGTTAAGGTATTTCAATGTCAACATATTAAATGAAATACATGTTAAACAACACAATGTTCTATAGAATGTTTAATATTTTCACCTAGAGGTTTTTCGAACGTTTACCCATAGATAAAGCAAGAAAACTCGCGTAATAGGGAAAAAAAAAAAAAACTTACTACTTGAAGATTTACTTTAAATTGAAGTTTTGATTATTCTTGATTAAGTTGAAATCCAATTTACTTTTTTTTAAGCCTAATGTCAACCTTAAAAAAAAAAAAATCAATAAACTTTCAACCATCTTTTGAAAAGATCGAAAAAAGAAAACAAATTTTATTAAAATGTTTAAATTCAAATTTCTAATTAAAGGTATACGAAAGCTGTTGAAAGAATATACATTCCAAAAATGATATATATGGTAAATTTAAAAGATAAATATTAGCAAGTTATATATCAGCAAACTATATGCTAAACACTCACAAACCACATAAGTTATCATATTTAAATATTTCCAATAGATAGTAGGCAAAATTTAATATATACTTTGCATAATTTATTATAAAATATTTAAAATTAAATTAACATATTCATACTTGTATCATACAAATACACAAAAGGAAATAAAACATTCAGAAACTTTTTCCATTTTAAAAATATATTTTTATTTGACACATTTTTATATATTTGTACAAAAGGTTGTTAACAAAGTCAATATATAAAAAAAGGTAGATCGGGTCAAAAAAATTGAGGAAATTAAAAAATTGAAATAAGAATAAATTTTATTTATAAATGCTGAATATCATACAATGGGAATCGAAAAAAAGGTGAACGCAAAAGTCTTACTTTTTAGAAGCTTTAGAAGCCTTATCTGCTTTCTTGGGCTTTTTCTCTGCTACTTTCTTTGGCTTAAGGGAAGCTTTTTTCGCTGGGGTCTTCTTTGCTTTCTTTTCCGAAGATTTGGCTGGCTTCTTTGAAGCCTTCTTAGGAGTCTTTGCAGCCTTTGAAACCTTTTTCTTAGGTGTATCCTTTACTTTCTTTGCCTTTTCACCGGATTTCTTTGGCGCAGAGCTGTCCTTCTTGGGTTTCTTTGGAGTAGCCTTTTTGGCTTCCTTTGCCTTCTTGGTAATGGCTTTAACAGACTTCTTTTCTGAAGATTTCTTCTTGGGTTTTTCAGCAGCGGCTGCAGCCTTCTTTTCTTTGTTTTCCTTCAATTTCTTCTTCTCTGAAGCTTTCTTCTGGTCATTCTTCAGTTTTTCAATGGCTTTTTCGGAGAGCTTGAGAGATCCATTGGCACCAATTCCACTTTGTTGAGCTAGTAGTCCATCTTCTAGAGCTTGCTTAACGGTCTTGGTGATGCGGCTGGAGTTCTTGTCAACTGCTACGCCGTGGGCAGATTCCATGTGCTTCTTGATGGCTCTAAGTGAAGATCCTTTCCTATCCTTCAGTTCTTTAATAGAGATGAGGATCAAATCTAAAAGCTTGGGCTTAGACTTGCTTGGAGAAGTCTTTTTCGCTGGTGACTTTTTTTCGGACATCGTGTAAGAGCAAACGTTCCTTACTGAAAACAAAAAAGGAAATGGCGCGATTGGCTCGCAAATAAAAAATGAAAGATAATGATGATAATAAACAGGAGTTCAAATGTTGGTCACAGAGTAATTTTTTCTGTGTTTTTAAAACTAGGAAATTTATTTTAGAAATAATACTTTTCATAATATATATTTATATATTTAAAAAAAAAATTATTGAATTTTTATATTTTTGCAAAAATGTATACTTCTCTAATTATTAAATTAATTTTAAATGTTATTTTTTAAAGTATTGCTTTTCTCCAATTATACTTATTACAATATTTTAAATTATTTTTAAATAAAGAAAACTTTTACATTAACTAATTTTAATTTTAAAAATGATATTCTAATAATAAATATGCAAAGTTTTTATCAAAAAAAGTTTCCACTAAAATAATTTAGGAAAACTTTTTCTGAAATATTTCTATTTTAAAAAATATAACTGATATATAGCTAGCAATAAATATGTATATATATATGTTTCTATGAAAATGTTAATCTGCAAGACGCAGGTTATCATCATCCCTTTTTGATTTGTTTTTGTCACTTTTTGGCGTTTCGAAAATAAACAATAAAAGGCTGTATCAGACTTTACTAAGACAATAAAGATTTGCTAAAAATAAATGTGTACGAAGATGTTGCATTTGGCGACGAGGATATAAGAGTAAGTACCCTCGAATTTTGAAGTAAATATTTTTAGAAAATATCTTTGATTTTGCATATAATTGAAAGTTAATTTTAAAAGACACAAATTGCAAAGTTTTAGGATGCAAATTTAAGAAAGAGTGAAAAATATGGCTAGTTACCAATTTAAGGAATATAATGAGGAAACTGAAACTTTTGAAACGTTTTATGAACGATTGGAACAGTTTCTCATATTGGAGGAGGCAGGGGATGAGAAGAAAAAGGCTTATCTCCTAACCCTCATGGGAAGTTCATACCCAATTTGCCAGAGCTTTTGAAGCCTCTTCATGAGCTTCTTCACA